TCCAGACTCAGGTGTTCCCTCCAGACGATGCACGAGCAGGAGTCGTTGAAGGGACAATTGTATATTAAAATGTCAGTGGTCGAGGGTGGAAGGGTCACTCACTTCTGGAAGAGCGATCGATTCAATCCCATTGTCTCTATGAAATTCGCACAGGATCAGGCACAGGTTATCGCTGATAATCCTTACGAAGGAGCTCTCAAGGACGTCAGTTTCGTCGTTAAATTCGTGTCGAAGAATAAAATGGGTGAGAATAATCTCCAGAAGATGGAACAATTATTTATAAATATTGACACCTATAATGCCGAGATATTTATTTAAAACATATAATGATAAAAAATAGTAATAGTTTTTTTCTGGGGAATGAATATAATATTTTAGGAGATAAATAGATGATTGAGGTTTTAATGAGGTTTTAATGGGTTTGAAAAATGTTTGAAGTGTATTTCTGGGTTTTTTTTTTACTGGGAGGGTTTTTTTGGGTTCTAGGAAAGAAAACGACTGTTGGACACTTTGTCATCGGTCCAGATGTGGGTGGACAGTACGGTGACCAGTGGAAACAGGCGATGGCCAAGCCTGGACAGCCGATAACCAAGTGGCAAGCCTTCGAGTGATTGAGATAATTAGAGAGCAGAGCTGAGGTGGACACTGTGTAAATACTTTAACCGTCCTTGGGGTTCTCTTATCAAGGTTCCCAATATTTCTTTGATAAGCACAATTTTGCAGCCGTCCGTTAATAATTCAGTGAAAACGTCTGATATTACGAGAACTAGTGGCCTGACAGGAGAAAGTGTAGGGAGTTTTTCAAAGGAAATTCAATTCTCCAGAGAAAAAGTTCAGTGAATTTTTCTTCTACAACCCATAATTCTCGAGATATTCACACAATTAGAGGAGAGTTTATTAGCTGTTGTGTAGAAATGGAAATTTCTGGTATTAGTATTCCGCGAATATCTCGGAAAGTAGGGGATTTCGAGGAGTGCGTCACAGGACCTTTTTTCTAGTTTTTTAAATTCTATGCAAAAAAGGTCCT